TTAAAAACGCTTGATTTGGCACATTAAGGCAGTTCAACGAAGCATCATTCTTATGATGAAAGGAAATGCACATTGCTGGATGATAAGAATTCGCAGGTAAACTAAAAGGTGGACAACAATTTACACTAATCTCAGGGAAATTGACAAAGCAGAGATCAAGCAGTCTACCATTACAATTAGGGGTACGGTTATATTGCACCAAATTATGATCAAACAATTCATTAAAAAAAACAACAGCCCTATCAGACGTTGAAGTAGGAAGCAAACAGCCAGAATTGTCACTGTTATACCGAGTCACTTGAGGCAAGTTGAAGTCACCTAATGCAACGACTACTTCACAAATGAGAGCAGCCTGTTTCTTGTAAATGGAGATATCAGAATTTGGGGCAATATAGGAGCAGGTTACAAATACCTGTTTATTAGGCATTATCGCACGAGTGGCGATAAATTCGAAGTCCGGAGAAGTGGGAAATTCTATTGAATTGGGCGGGACTGACGTAGATATGGCACCACCACCAATGCGATTCACTCAATCATTTCTAAAGACTTGGAAAGAATTATGAAAAAGTTCCGAGGAATGAAGATCGGGTTTTAGCCAAGTTTCAGTGAATGCCAAACAGAAAAACTCCGTGCTCACAGAATTTAGAAAAGTAGAACGAATTTTTGAATTTAGGCCCCTAACATTTTGATAAATGAGAGATAATGGGCCTGAAGAAACATTCAGTTTTTTGAAGGCGACAAGACTATTGCTTTGGTATTACGGGGACGATCGCATGAAATAAATTCCTAATTAAGGATCCTACTGGCCACAGTGGTTTGTTTAACAACATATCACTGTTTTCAGTCGGAACTAGTATTTTAAAAGAGGAGATTGACTGATGGGACTTTCGCCGCCAGATAACTTTTTATATTATCCACTGATGTTTCAAGTGCCAGTCGTGTCACAAAAATTGCTTTTCTTGGAGGAGCTGCCGTCAAGCAAATATCATTAGTTGAAACAGGAGGGTTCGCGGGTGGGGAGTTTAGAGTTGGGGAGAATATAGATGGCGTTATCGCCCTTGCACCAGCAGCTTGTGCGACTTGCCCAGTCTTGTGACCATCGTTCACATTCGAACAGCCAGGGGAAGAGGCTGGTTTATTTTTCTCTTTATTATTTTTAGGCGATGGGACTTGATTAGAGTGAGTGGCGGCTCTGGGCGGAGATACCCTTGCCACTTCAGCGTAGCTTAAAACGGAAGGACTTCCCGGCTTGTTTGTAACTACATTGTTACCAAACGACTCAACAATATTGGAAACATTAACGTTCATTTTAGAGTTAGAGGGAGCAGTAACTTGTACCAACGAATCAGATTTAGAGGAACTAAGAGGTGACGTCCCACACGCTACACTACGAGTAGGTATTTTTCTGGCTTGGGTAGAAGATGAGTGCTCAATAAAACGGCACTCGTCAAACCTAGACTTAATTATCTCAAACTTCTCCCACAAAGAGCCGAGATTTCTACTCAATTCCGAGAAACCATTTCGCGTCTCCGTGAAAAGTCTGTAGAAATCAATGTCCCGCTGCCTACAGTCAGGACATGACCATCTTAAGCCTTTGGAAGGGTCAGCGACTGCGTCAGCAGCACGGCCGAGAATACTGGCACACTTTGCGTGAAGAAAAAAATTCAAAAGAATCCACTACTCTAAGTTTATTTACAAATTTAAGAAATTTAATAAAACTTCTCCGTTACGTTGTCACTGTAACAAGAGAGCAAAAGAACAAGAGAAAGCAAAACCAAACTGGAAGCACGAAAAAAAGAGAAAATTTTCTTTTAAATTTTCTCTTAAATTACACGTAAGACCTGCACTACTAAAGCAACGGAATACAAGCCAAGAGAAAAGCTATTCACACCAAAGGAAGAAAATAAAAAAAAATTTTAAAAAACTGTAAAGAAAAAACTACATAAGATTCGAAAGAGATTTACTATTGCGATCACAATCACAAAAATTTTAATGAAATTAGTGAATTTTTACACTTTTAACCTTTTATACTTTTACGTAAACCAAGTTTTAAACGCGTATAAAACGAAAACAAAAAAATTTTAGCAATAAAACTAACAAAAGCGTACGATCTCGCGCGCGTCAGTTGCCAGACTTGGCAACATAATTCTTCAAATATAAGCATTCTTTAATCATATGGTATTAATTTCTTAGGAAGACTTAGCAAGAGTAAACATACGCTAATTAAATCACAACACATTTGTTCATATTAAGGCGATTTGTATTCAGGCAAAAGTCAATTCATATCAAACCCATGCAAGACAAAAATTTCCAAATCCAAAGTGATTAATAAAATTTTACGCTTATTTTCTTTGCATTATGTATGTGTGTTTTGAATATTAATATGATCTTGATATTTACTTTAAAAAAATTTATCAAAATTAATTTATATTAACAAGATTTCATGAGAAAATCTATATAAAATTGCATGTAAGCTTATTTAATATTTTTAAATTTTAATTTATTTCTTTTCTATAAATTTTAAAAATTATTGGAAAAAATTTTCCTGAGATTGCACAGCATCCAATATAACAAATGTGTAAAACTCCTCGTCGTCTCTTGCCGGTATCTTTTTCTCCCCTTTTCTATCTATCGTCCGTCAAAAACAAGAAAGGAAGTGTTCCCAAAAGCCTGTCAAAATCTCCACAACGTTAAACTGCTTACGTGAGTGAACAGAAATTAATAATAAGTACAACCACAATCACATGTTACAATATCTTATCTCGCGAAATAGACCTTCACGATTGACACCTTGAATGCATAGTGATGCAGACCCACGTCGTATTTTTGAAACCTCATATCTCTTTATATATAAACTTCTGCATAGTACTTTTTTTAATTTTATCAAACTTATTTTATCATTTCCGAACACAGTTAGTTTCTTTGGCAGTTTTTTCTTGATTAAAATTTCATTTCGGCGGGTGTTTCGAAATACAATTATTTGTATAAAAACTAACGAAGAGATGTACGAAAAATTGTTTTCAGATAGAAACAAGTTAAGACTAACAAATAATATTTATATTTTTGTATGCAATACAGAAATATACTAATAATTTGCCCCTACTGATCACTAATCGTTCAAGAAAAATCCAACATTTGACAATTTTTATTTTCATGAAAACTAGTCGATTTTCAAAGAAATGAAATTGCTAAAACTTGTAAAACCAAATCCACTTTCATAATGTTTTATGTGTAGTTTACACATAAGCAGGTACAACAGCAGAATGACGAGGACGAACATTACACGACCCTAAGAGCATGCAAAGTTTGAAAGAAGAAGAGGACATGATAGGCGAACTAGGCGTAGTCTTATCTGGAAAAACATCACTTGTCTTATGGTGCCTCTAAAATAACCCAAGAACCTAGGACATTTGAAAATAGCCACACTAGATACGCGTTACAAATGCTTCGTCCATTACTTTACTTTTGATTTTCTTCAAAAAATTGTAGATGATTTTGAGGTCATAAAAAACATATATTGTAATATAATGAGAATTATTATTAGTATTATTTATGTTTGAAGTAAATTTGCAGAATTCACCGATCGATTTTGCACAACGAACGAGTTTTTTGATGTAGAAATACATGAATATGTTTTTTTTTTAATTAAAGGAATATTCTTACATGGTTTTTTTTATTATTTTTTCCGTTAACATTTTTGGATTGACTAAAATTTTTTTTTTTTTTAATGAAAATTTTGGGTCCCTTGCGAGGCTTTTAACAAGCTTGTCATGCATGTACGTTGGACTCGAGATTTCTTTATTATTAATCTTTTGTCTTAACAGTACGGTCTATGGATAGCTTGAGAATGTCATTGTGCATAATGTTCATACTCTAGGAGTATCAAGCCTTCTGATGCTCTTCAGATAACAATTCGTTCCCTCCATCTTAGAGTTTCCGATTCTTCCATATTGACACGTCCAAAGAACAGAAGCGGTTCAACAGTTTTCCTGTGCGTTAAGAGGGTAAAGCGATAAGCGTTAAGTTTTGGTAAAGCGAAAGTTTGCCTTCTTTGTCTGATATTTATAACAGATCTCATCACGTACCGTTTATTCCTAAATTCGGTCTTGTATGATCGCTTGCTGAAGGAAATTGACGAATAACTTTTCTATACAGCTGGTCGTTAATGAGCACCAGAAAGAGACAAGGAGAAAGAAAAGGGCCATGCGGTACACCTGCATTTAATTATTCGTTTGAAGCCGATTACAACTCTTATCGAAACCTCATTTAAGAATCTCTACATAAATCGCGCGAAAATGCCGTCGACACCAAATACAATCAGCTTGGAGACAAGAGCACAATACTGTACTCTTCCGAATGTCTTCGAGATGTCTGGAGAAACGACCTTACTTTCGTCTAAGTAGCTGACGACAGCATTCCATTTGGGATGGAGTAAGGCATTAAGCCAACTATGAACCGTTTATTGCGAAAGTCATGCTATTTATCGCTAATTAGGCCGTTAGATTTCAACGTTTTCGTCAGATGATAATTCACCACGGTCTCCCTTTTTCGAGCCGCTGCAGATTCATCCTGTTTTTCATAGCGGTTCGCACCTTTTCCGCGGAGATAAGACGGTGCAGCTCCTCCCACATTTTTCCGGCCAGTTGTTCGTACTTGCCTTTAATCGGCTGCCCTGGTATTACCACAAGTCCGGGTAGTCTCGAAGTATACGGCTGAGTACATCGTGGAATTGTTTATCGACAGCGGTCATACTCGTTGAGTATGTCACATATAATTGAAATAATAATTCATTTTTCAAAAATTAATTTAGTCGAATCAAATTCAAAAGCAAGACTTATAGCACTAGCATCTAAAGCTGTCGGCTTTGCAAAAGAATTATTATGTCATACAATCGAGATGATACAACAGAGCAGGCATAAAAATTAATGATTTTTTATTTAACATTATTACTTTAGTGGCAACGTTCGCACAAGGAGTTGCTCTAATTGCAACAAAGCATCAGAATCAAAATTTCTGCAAACTACTATCCTTGTTGCATTCATTCCCATAAGCTTATTAATTATCCACCCATCCCATCCCATAAGCTTATTAATTATATACCCATCCCATCCCATAAGCTTATTAATTATTGGTGCAGGTATAACACGAATAGAGTATAAAAAATATTTAAGTCAACCGCTTTCTTGTGCATAAAACTTCGGAGCAGTTCAATTAAGCTTTTGCATAGAAATATATATATATATATAGAAAACCTATATATATCTAGAAAATTGAAAAAGAGCGTTAAAGGAAACCATGGTGCGTCTTCACGATATCAACGAAGGCAGGTATGCTTGTGGCAACTACTACATAGCGTAAACATTGGCAATTGTGAAAAATCTGCATGTCAACATTTATGTCTGCTTGTTCTTCTCCTTTTTGTAAATTTCGTACGCAAAGATGGTGATAAAAGATTTCCACAAACGTCTGTGTTATATGAAGACATCTGTGAACTTTTACAAGAAATAACAATAAAAACTTAATATATGAACAATTTTTTAATCGCCAATTTAAACATTAAGCAAATTGACCTTTAAATAATTATCAAATTAATTAACTTCAAAAATGCTTTTGTTTCTGTTGAAGAAGTTGTTAAGAATGAGCGCGCACACGAAAAGTTCACCTATCGTAATGTTGACTTGGATCAGATATGTCCAATTATTATTATTATATTATTTTCATGAAAAAATCTTGAGTTGTTTCCTCGTCAAGAGAGTTTGAGCAACATCCTGAAATAACATAACTATTACCTTTTAGTTTTTAGCGCGTATTATGCGTTGATGTTAATCACGAATTGTGTTTTCTTTATTAGGCACATAATTTCTTCTTTTATTTCATTTCTTAATTGCTTTATAAGTTTTTAAAAGTGTTCAAATAAGGTTTTTGTGTGTTTATTGCTAAAACTGAACATCGCGGATATCATACGTGTTTTCTTTAAGTACAACAAAAAAAAAAAAAAATTGAAAACATTTGAATATCCTTAGTAGTTTCTGTAATAGACACTGTAACGGGGGGAAAAAAAAGAAAAGGCAAACTTTGGCAACTTTGAAAGAGCGACAAGCGGCGCGAAGAAAAAAGAAACTTCGGCAACTTTAAAAGAAAAAGAAAAAAGAAAAAAGAAAAAAACGAGGAAAAAATGCGGCTTTCGTTAGAATTTTGCTTGTAAATTTTTTTGGAATAAAATTAAAATACATGTTGTGCTATTGCTACTTCAAGACAAATAATTTCAGTGAATGATAATGAAAGTGAATTTATAAGAATTAGAGAAAGAATAAATCCCGAATATTTTTTATTGGAAAAATATGAAAAAATTGTAAACTGAAAAGGCTTCGATAATTTTAGTAAAGCCGGACTAATTGGAACGCTATTCATTGTTCACATACAAAAGCACAAGGTCACTAAGGTCAAGGAACTTTGAAGTTATACAAAGGTGCAAAAAGAAAAACAACGAAAATCAAGAAGAACTAACGTTTGCGTCGGAGGGCAGGAATCAACGATCGCTCGGTTGTGGCCATTAAAAATTGGAGGATGAATGTGCAGCTCATTAATGCAAATGAGAAGGAGGAAAGTTTTAAAAAAGAAAGGCGTAAATTGATTTAGCTAAATTGTTGGTCGGCTGCGGGTGTTGTACGAGAGTCCTTTAAATAAGAAGAGATTAATTGAAATTAAAGAAGAGATAGCTATATGCGTTAAACAAGGGAGCAATATAAGAGTTTTCTAATTTTTTAATAAAAAAAACCGACAAACAATGTCTTCGTACATTTTTAAGAACTGTGTCTTATAAAAAGGGAAGAAAATCTCAAAGCCCAAGAAAAAAATAAGAAAAAAGAAAAGAAAGGGGAAAAATTGACGAGCTAATGTACAAGAAGGAGTGTAAAACACAAAAGAATCGATAAAACGTTAAAAGAGCATTCCTCTTCACACCGGTTTATGCGTGGTATCTCTAAGTGGTCGAAACAATAATTGACAATTCTTTTGAGTTATATTTCCTAAATATTAAACAATTTTTTTTTTTAATTTTAAAACCTATAATTTGTTAACAAACCTTTTAGCTGCGGCGATGCGCATCTACGTGGTTGTTAGTTTTGGTAAGTTTATTTATAAAATCGATTAATAACCATTGTTCATTTTGAAAATTTTGTTTTGAATTATTGAATTAAAACATTATAACACTTTCGTTGGAAAATAAAATAAAAGAAATGTATTATTATTAAAGTTTAAAACACTGGTAAGATTTCCTGTGGATGACGGAGGGGCGAGGTAAAAGTAGTATGGTTAGGGCGTGGATTAAATTAGTCAAAAGTTTTCCATTTTATTAGTAAACATGTTTTATTAAAAATAATGAAATATTGTAGGGAAGGATGAACCTAACACGTATCTGAATGCATTTTATTTGGACACACCCCATCCCACGAGCCAGGCCGGAAAACATGAGAACAAAAAGAAAGCTAAAAACAACCAAGAACATCCGTGCATAGGTTGAATTCTCGAAACGTTACATTTCCCAAACCTTTTCAAGTGGGTGTTTATTCCACAAATATCTAAATAATAGACAACCATAAGGCATAATAGCCCCGGGGCCGCCAATTAAAAACTCGAATAAATTTTATCTATTAGCTGAGACATCCCCCCAAAGAAAAGCAATTAAAAATTCCGACTTTCCGGTGTTGCCAATTAGTGACATCACTCCTATTGACAAAAAATATATTGTCATTTCTTCAACCGATGTTAGAGTAACAATATCCCAAATTAGCTCTTTTGCCATAAAAAAAGGCCTAGATAACATTACAACATACATAGACTCTATCTCTATTCTACGCGATGGGAATTTACTGGTCCTCGCTGGGAACCCGCGCGCAACTGAAAAGCTCATAAAATCGCAATCTTTAGCTAATCTGTGTTTTGTGTGCTGTTTCCGCTAAACTGCATGAAAAACTTAACTCAGCTAGAGGCGTAATTTATACCCCGTGTTTAAAGCATGTGAAAGATGAAATTGTTCGCGAAATGGGCTATCAAGGAGTGACTGAAGTATATAAATTCACCGAACCAAATGATGACGGAAAAACTCACTCTCCTACAGGTAGAATTATTTTAACCTTTGATCGCTACTGATTACCGCGAACAGTTGATGTGGCGTGGTATAAATGCAAAGTAGAACTATACATTCCTATTCTAAAAGTGCCAACTCCTAGATCATACGGCAAAAAGGTGCTCCATCTTGTGCTAACTGTGGTCTTCCTCCACATGCTGAAAGCTGTACCCGTAGTTTCTGCATAAATTGCAGTCATGAACACTCAGCGTTAGACAAACAATGCCCACGCTTTGTACAGATGCGTGAAATACTAAAAATCAAAACAGAAGATTACTGTAGCATGGGCGAAGCGCGACGCAAATACCGGGAAAGAAATCCATGTGTATCTCCTTCCAATGAAAAACCCGTTCCACCATTAACCAAAAATTATATTGAGAAACCAGTTCCATCACCCGCCAAAGATAATATTGAAAAATACCAAAGCAACACCAAATATTGAAAAAATTAAAATAACAACATATATGCTAAAATCTAATAGACTAAATTCCCCAGAATCTCCAGCTCTCAACTTTAGTCAACAAATTACCAGCTGTTATGAAACCAATATGCATCCAAAATCTATTCTTTCATCCATTAATCAACCTAATGCACGTTTCATTCTTATATATACAAGTTAAGGACCATCCTAATAAAAAGAACAAACTTACGAACCACCCTCACAATTACAATAAACAGACCTAAAGTGTCATGTTAAGTTAATATAAACAAGTAGGCATTGGGTTCTCAACTTTCTTTCCTCGAGAACTCTCGTATTAGATTCATATACAGTCGAAGTTTGTGGAGGCTTACCTCAAGCTAGCTGTCTCAGCCCAGTTCTCTTCAATTTATACACAGCCGGTTTACATCAATTACAGGACAATTCTACCCATTTATTTCAATATGCTGACGATTTCCGCATCATCTCTGCTGGAAAATCATTAATGGAAGCAGTCCGTAACCTCGACACTAAAGCCAATCTTTTTCACAAACTTTGTGCAGACTTAAATCTAACTTTCAACCCGGAAAAATCAAAAGTCATTCGCTTTGCTAAGGGTCCCAAAAAAATTTTTTACATTACAATCAATGGTATAAAAATCAGTCCGTCTTCCTCTTTTAAATTTTTGGGCAGAATAATCAACTCAAGTTTAACCATGCATGAGCATTACAAGGATAGCCTCGAAAATTGCAACACAGGCTCAAATGTCATCAAACTTCTGACCAACATTCACACCGAACTCCCACCTAGGAAAGCATTAAACGTTTACAAATCTATTGTTAGATCCAAAATTGAATATCCCTACTCTACATCGTGTAACGCTCCTGCGTATACATTAAAAAAAATACAAACCTTTCAACACTCAATCCTAAGACGTTGTACCGGTTTGTCCCCCTCAACACCAACATCAATTTTACGTTCCATCTCTTATGAACTCCCCGTTGCTAAGAGAATTTATCTTGTAACTGCAAAAGAACTTCTCAAGGTAAAAATCTTCAAACCTGCCTTCTTTGACGAGGTCGCTTCCAGACACAATCATGTCATCAGTAGTTACTCTAACTGCTTCAAAAAATTCGGTAACATCTTCAATAAAGTTAACTCAATACCCTCCTGGAATAATATTATTCATGATAAATGCGTAGTTGAATTAAACTTACTTAATTCAATCACCAACTCAAAAAAAAATCGATCAGGGTCTTGTCTTCGAATCGCTTGTCTGCAAAAACTTAACCACTTCGTCGAAAATAACTTCAAAATATACGGATGGATCTATCAATTCGGACATCTCTAGTTTTTCAATTATTGAATACCCAAACTTACTTATAGGAAAATTCAAAGTTCTACAAGAACTATCATCCACTTTCATTGAACTTCTGGCCATCAGACAAGCAATCATCCATGCATCTGAAATTAAGCTGAAAAAATTTGTAGTTTTCTCTGACAGCAAATCTGCTCTAATTTTAATCAAGAACAAAGACCCATTCAATAAGTATGTCTTCGATATCTACAACCTTTTAAAAGACCCAAGTATTGAAAAATGCCACATCATCTGGATCCCAGGTCACTGCGGTTTTAGTATCAATGATAAAGCTGACTTCCATGCTCGTCAAGCTAGGTTCGATGTTACAGTTTTGTCCATAAACTACCCCCCCAGCGAAGCTTTTCTGCTAGTCAAAAAACTCATCATAAAAGAATGGAAAGATGAATATCATGTTTTAGCTAGAGAAAAATGTGACCGGCTGTTCTACAAAATTTACCCTTTTTTGACACCCACGCTTCTACCTAAAGGAAAATTCACAACATGGGAATTTATAGTTCTTCACCGTCTTATGAGTAATCACACCTACGAGAAGGTCTATTTTAAAATGATCAAAGTCTCCTCCTCTGACATCTGTGAGGATTGCAATATTACTGAGTCTGCCGAGCACCTTATTTTTGAGTGCAGGAAGTTTGACATCCTTAGACAATCTTTCAGTATATTTAACCTGTATAACAATTTATATGAAATTTTTCGTGCTGGTAACTTTAGACATTTGAAGCAACTGACTGCCTTTATCAAATCAGCTGAGTTTTCATTCTAATTTTACATTTAGTATTTCTATTACAATCACGAATCGCCTACACGTTTTCTTTTATCGGCATTATTAGCCGGATCTTGATAGTACAGTACCAAGTACGGTGATTTATGGATTGACAGCGGAACAGAGCCTCTCATATCGAACACTCTGCCACATCAGTCTACCTATGCTTAAATTTTTTCATCAATCGCTCTCAACTTCGTTTCTGGATTATGGATCCAACATTAACTTAACTGGTGCAATCCATCTCTAAACAAACAAAAAAAAAAAAAAAAAAAAAAGTTAATATAAACACTTCTTATATAAAGTTAACGTAAACACTTCTCACCGATATCCAATGGCACTCTACCAAAAAACATCTCCCACAGATATCTCATTTCACCCTATAATAAAAATAAATGCTGACTGTGGATTATTGGTTAAACCGAGGTTTCCTGTTTTATAAATCAATAAGAAAAGTTAGTCTCTTTATCAACTATCCATTTAACAACAAGTTCCAAACCAAAAAAATAAATTGTTAAATTAAAATAAAATACAAAAAATAAAATTGCGTTTGATTAATAAACCCAAGGAAATAAAAATAATTTAACTTACATCTTAAATTGAGACAGTTAAGGGGCTTCTTAAAAGATCTATTGAGAAGTTTAATAAAGGAGGAAAATTCATGGAGTGATTAAAGAGAGAGGGACGGTAGGCGAGAATTGAAAAAGTGATTGAGAATGGGAAAGAATTGCCGTGACGGCAAATCTTGGGCCGTGGCCGCGGGAGTTTTAATTTGCGACCCAGAATGAATGTCGATTACAAAATTTTTATTTTCATGCAAAAGTACAAAATATTCAATATATATATTCAATATATTATGTATATGTATCTATACGGTATTTACGTAGAATATATTTGTGTACATACATAAACAAAAATTATCTCACAAGTTAAGAAGGAGTAAATCAAAGATACTATATACGCTTAATACTAAAGTTTTCATGACGGTCAGAGGCTTATTTGACGGAGCAACAAAGCAGAACAATTCGAATAAACATCTCTGAGTAATTCAAACAATAGGACGAAGTTTGTCTTTTTTTGGTGTAAAATCTTCCGTATTATTTAAAAACAAAATGAAATTGTTACATATTAATATAGCGACCAAATTAAAAGTAAAAGACAAACATTTCAATCTTTTTTCTTAACAAAGTACCCAAGTATAAATAATAATTCACCAGTCATCGTTAAAAATACGATAAGCTTCTTATCGCTTCGTATGATTTCAGCAACAGCTTCATAATATTAGTTTGAGGAAAAAGAAATCCATTATTTTTATATAAACATCAGAACTTTATTTAACATGCTTCGGATTGTCCGATTTGGGTCAAATATGCACCGTTTTGTTGTATGATCTGTTGCCATTTTAAAGGTAACTTCAAAATGCCTCTCTCATAGAAGTCC